TTTAAAAAAAAACGAATAATTGTTTAAAAAAATACATTATAAATCATTACATACTTTTTCTTAAAAACAATTTTTTTTATACTAATTGATTTGTCCCATTATTCTGAACATAAAAGTATTACGGTAAGATCATCGAAAACAAACTATTTTACGAGATGTTTTAATTTTTATATCAAAATATGTCAGATTAAAATATAAAATAATTCAAAAAGTACTTAATGAAAAAATACTTTATTATAGTGTTTTGGAAAGCTTTCGAAGTAAGCTACAAGAATATGCAATAAAAAGTAGGCAGTTCCATTTAAAAAATTGAAGGTGACCTTGCTTTTTTATGGAAAAAAAATGTTTGGTCAATTTTTATTATTGCAATTTGTTGCCGGTTAGAAACTGATAAATTTCTGTTTATGACTTTTTTATGTCAGATTATTGTAAGTGCCTTAAAAATCGTGGCGACCGTTACGAGGACCACCCTGTATATTTTAAATAGTAATTGGAAATAGAAAGCGTTTTCTGCTGTTTTGTGAAGCTAAACAGTTTCTAGAAAAAATTATCTTTTGAAACATCTTTGAAAGATGAATCAGGTTGAGAAATGCTGATCTAAATTCACATAGAAATCCAAAAAGAATACAGAAATATAAAATACAATATTAGAATACATATTTGTAAGTTTATTTATTTATTTATCGTTATTGAATTGCCTCGATGAGATAATATTATAAAGAAATATGAATATCTATTATAATAATATATTGATAATGTTAATATAACTTTATCGTAATAGCATTCAAATAAATTTATTTAGACTTCGCTTCTTATATACGAATTTAATATGTAAAATATTTTATTTTAATAGTATATTTCTTTACATATTTCTTTCCAAATATATAATAATTATTATAAATATATAATAATTATTTAAAAACATTTTTTAGGTTGAAATATTATGTTTCAAGAAAGACATATTCGATATCATATTAATAAATGTTTTATCTTTTAGCCGAGTGGCTGCAAACGTTTTGCATCTTGTGTCCAAGAGCCCTTATTGAAAAAAATCGAAAATCGATTCTTTATTAAAATAATCGATTTGTCTTAAAATCATATTTTTAATAATCGATTCAAAAATCGATTTTTTTTAAAGAAAAATATCGTCTATGAATACCGTCCATAGTAGGGATGTTCGATTCCAAATCGATTTTCTAGAAAATCGATTTTTTTAGAAAAAGTCTTGATTGTCCATATCCATGTTACATTGACTTTCAATTCTCTTTCCCCTTTGTCTTCAAGCTCGCGGCAATACGATCCATCTTACAATTATATATTTCTTACATCGGATATTTATATGATCGGTACAGTCATAAAAACAAGGGTCATAAACTTTATAACTTAACCGTTATTTTTGTGACCGTGTGTTACTATTGAACAACCAAGATGGCCACAATAAAGATTTCCCTTTATTCTTCAATCTTTATACCCCGCGTCCAAAAATATACTTATGCTCCGTCCTATATCCATGGTACCGACCGTGTTGTCATTATATCGTAATTGTAAATCACAGACGATATACGTCATAATGATGACATTTGGACGTTGTACATGTATTTATACAGATCCATGCGGATCTTACTGAGCATTCTTTTTAATTGTTAATTTTAATTTGAAGTCTGACTGTAACCGCAAATGTTGTGTATGTCAAGTTTTAAATCTCCAATCTAATCTTTATATATTTATATCCATGCTAAAGATGGATCAAAAAACGGTCCGAAACGTATATTTTTAATGCATATTAGTTAATAAAATTTAACAATAATAAGCGCCTTGATTCTTATCTGACATTTTTCTCACTTGATTAATTTGTTGTTGCGCAGCATCTTGATGCACGTGCAACTCGGAGAATCAAGCAAATAAAAATGATTCCTCGGCTATGGCGTCAATCGAACATACCTTAAAAGTCGGACTATCCAAAGTCGGAGTTTCTCTTTATAAATAATACAGCAAATTTCCCTGCTAATGAATTCTGACGTCTTACTCTTCATCTCCGTGTTCGTATTTTAGGCGAAACGGCTGTGGATGTCTATTGAATACGATAACTAACGTCGATCATAAACGCGTCTCGTTTAACGGGAAATTGGATGTTTCGGGGTCCGATGTGATGATCTCAAAATTCTCAAACTTTCTGCGTCATTTTTCGTCTCTATATATTCAGGAATTATTCTCCAACAAGAGAATTATCACTGAAACATTATCATTGAAATATTATTGATTCATTCTTGAAAGATATTTAGTTGCAAATTTTAGATTTTTTATAACACGCTAACAAGCGATCTGCTACATTGTCAAACGCAATGATGGCGATCATGTGGCTTTATAAAATGCCTAGAGGTTTTATAAAACGACGAATTATGTAATCTGGCTACGACATACATATGTCGCGTATGCCTGATTATACATATAATCCGTCGTTTTATAAAACCTCTAGGCATTTTATATAGCCACATGATCGCCATCATTGCGTTTGACAATGTAGCAGATCGCTTGTTAGCGTGTTATAAAAAATCTAAAATTTGCAACTAAATATCTTTCAAGAATGAATCAATAATATTTCAATGATAATGTTTCAGTGATAATTCTCTTGTTGGAGAATAATTCCTGAATATATAGAGACGAAAAATGACGCAGAAAGTTTGAGAATTTTGAGATCATCACATCGGACCCCGAAACATCCAATTTCCCGTTAAACGAGACGCGTTTATGATCGACGTTAGTATATATATATATATATATATATAATGCCTAGAGGTTTTATAAAACGATGATATATATATATCAGTATTAAGAATATATAATTCGTATATATATACGTGCCCATGCAGTAGTGCAAAAGTCTGTGGTGTAAAAAATGTTATGTATCTTTCAATTTTTGGTATTTTTCAGATAGCACAAGAGAGAGTATGTATAATAGTAGACATATTATTAATTTTATAAATCCGTCCTTTCGATATGTCTCGTTTTTGTCAATCGATTAATCGATATTCGTCATGTCGACTAATCGAAAGAGAAATTGTCAAGTACACAATGGCAGACACCGTGGTTGACAGTGCTGCCACATGTTTGTCCATTTAATTTCCGCCAGTGTTTTTATGCAAAAAGGCATCGATTAAGGGTATTTTTATCAAAATTTGAGTAGAGCGAATTATTCTAAACATTTACCAGTTTCTCCATGGACACAGTGAAGGTGCATTCGAAAGTAATACATTTTGCCAGCAAGTAACGGATTCTGGAAAGAAGAGGAAGTAGGTTAGGTTGTAAGATTTTAAAGTGACATATTTTCATTCTTGGCGCTAAACGAGTGAAATGCTGTAGCGGGATTCTCTAAACATCTTAGTGACGATTATCGTTGTCGTTAGCGAGCGATAGCCTATGAGAATTGCGCTTTTCACCAGAATTGTCCTTGCCATTGGCTGTCGCCAGTTAACGATACCGAAAACCGTCGATAACAAGTTACTGAATCCCGCTACTGATATACTGCGTCCGATTTCTGATGTACAATGTCCGATATCCAATAGGAGTTTGTTTTATATAAAACAAACTTTCTTATTGGATATCGGATATCTGACATCATACATCGGAAATCGGATGCAGTGTGAATTCTTCATTATAGACGCATGCGCATTACGCAAAAGGTGATTTAATACTTTGACAGTTCTCTGCCAACGTGAATGACCCAATATCAAGCGACGCGGTAGTAGTGTATCTGTGGCTTGTATATATGCTAAATAAAAAATGGCTGATGATTTTGATGGAGACGAGTAAGTATAATGCCAGTTTCTTTGACGTATATACATACAGAAGCATATGCATGTTGGTATATAGGAATATACATTTTATAGGTTATTTTGCATTTCATTAATATCACTCATTATGCAGACGAATTTTTTTTATAATTTATGTGCTATTCTTGTTGTAAACTAAAAACAATAGGTTGAACTAAAAAACAAGTAGTTGAAAATTATTGAATTAATAGTTTCTCTGTATAGTTTATATATATAATTAATATTATTCCGGTTAATCTTATTATTTGTAGGGTCGCAGATGATTTCGATGATGTAGACGACGAGGACAACATCGAATTAGAGCCCCAAGAAGATGATGGTGAAAATATCGAATTGTTGAATGCTAATGAAGCTACTGCTGGTGTTCAAAAGTCAAAAAGGATAACAACAAGATATATGACAAAGTATGTGTATTATATATGATATATTATTTGCATAGAGTGAAAATATAAATAACTTTAGCGATATATTAAATTTTTATTTTACAGATATGAAAGGGCAAGAGTTTTAGGCACAAGAGCGTTACAAATAGCAATGTGTGCTCCTGTAATGGTAGAATTAGAAGGGGAAACTGATCCGCTGCAAATTGCAATGAAGGAATTAAAGCAACGAAAAATTCCCATAATTATACGTCGCTACCTGCCTGATAACAGTTATGAAGATTGGGGCATTGACGAACTTATTATAATAGATCATTAATATTAGTATAAGTTGTACAAAATTCGGTATACCTTATATTAACTATGTATTATCAATACTACAATACATTATTTTATCATCTTACATTTTATATCAATGTATAATGAAATTTTTATATATTTTGTCTCCTAAAATTTTATTCCGTCTTCCTGCATAAGAGAAAAACGTTAATCATGAGTATAATTATAATACAATTCTCTTTATGTATTTTTTGAATGAAAAATGCAGATCTTATAGTTTACGATTTGACGCGAGAGGTCCTCGTGGTTTCTTTAGTCGCTCTTAACCTCGTTGATCAATTACTGCAAGATAAAAATTTCACGACAATTATTTAGCACGAATATACGAAATACCGATTGCAATACTAAGAAGACAAAAAAGTGACAAAATGAGTTTAAATCCGATTTCACCAGAGTTGTCCTTGCCATTGGCTGTCGCCAGTTAACGATACCGAAAACTGTCGATAACAAGTTACTGAATCCCGCTACTGGACTGTTTATCGCAGAACTTCAAGTCGCATCGCACTTTTATATGCTCCCGTATTTAATACAACGACCAAACGAAAATGTCAAACGAAAGCAGAGGACCTGTTCCGCCTCGCTGGCTTCACTGTCCGCGTAAGGCGATGAGGCTGATACAAGGCAAGTTTCTAGCCTTCAAGACGCCACTGTCCTCAACCTACGACAACCAAGTGCCCGAGGAATGTCGCTTCAATGTGGATATGTTCTTTGCAAATCTGAAGAGTCAAAAATTAAAGATGGGTCTTTGGATAGACTTAACGAATACGACGAGATTCTACGATAGAAAGACCATAGAGGATTATGGCTGCAAATATTTGAAATTGCAATGCAGAGGTCACGGTGAGACTCCATCGGATGCGCAGAACC